ATTCGAACCTTTCCCAAGTGTATCCTAATTTTCGACGTGAAGAACCTCGATCACCATCGTCTAAGATGGCGCGCAAATGCAATAGGTATATTTGGTGTTTTGTAGATGCTACCAAACCCAGAGCGTCTCAAGTTCTATGACGAGAAGTTGAGCGGGAATCTACTATACTTACACGGGACGTACAGATCGAGACGATGAGAGGGCAGCACTAGGAAGCTTCAACCTCCAAGTAGTTTGTCTATGCGGGTAATTTTGAATGAGTGCATAAGTCGCAAGACTCTTCAGAGGCGAGCGCTAGTGCTTGAGTATCATCTTGAATAATGAGAACAACAACGAGGACAAACCAGCACTGAGTTTCAACGCGAGGAAATTGAGTTATCTATTATTATCTGCTGGTGGGAATAAAACAACGGAGACACGGTGATCCCATCTCAACGAAATCAGACTTACGTTCAGTTATCGATTCCAGTCACCATCTTCCTCATCGTCAAAATTCCCTGGTAAGCAATGTCCAACAACAATCGAAGTCGGAGATCAGGTATTCGTCTTGCCGGTGCGTTTTCTTTTGAGGCTAGATAATGCGTTGGTGTTCCAACTTCTGAGGCATCGAGCAGATCCGGGTTGGAAGGAAGAGTTCCAGCCAATTATTTGCATCGGGTTAGCAGCCTATGCTAGGGTTCGTCACTCGGTGCTCTATCAGCTGACTGACTTCCTAACTTTTCGTGCAGTCGCACAATCAATGCTGCGGCGATGGCAGTTCCCGTCCCTACAAAGTCGTACCTTTCTATTACCTAGCTGACGACCCAGAGAACCGGAGGGTAAGCAAGTCACGGCTTTCATCGAGGCATACCGAACTTGGAAATACAGATCACTGCGTACAGCCCAAGACATACGAAACCTCGATGATGACCAGTTGAACAGTTATGTCACCGGATACAGACTGGGACACTGTGCCGCGCTTCGCATAAGGCAAAGCTTACAGGTCTATGCAACCACATTGGATGCAGGGCGGCAGTCTCCGAGTAGATGTCCGGATCAAAGAGAGTTCACTTTCCTCATACTTACTATCGCCCTAGCTAAGGCTTGTAAGTGATAACATTTGGTGCGTACATATGCAAATAGAGACAGGAGCTTCAGTCCTCGGGAGACAAATTGACTCTATGCAGATGCTAGTACCTGTAACCTCCTTGAAGCCTTCTTCCTTTTACTGAAACAAAACTTTAAATATTGATTATCTGTGAGCAGAAAAAACTCTTCGAAACGATCGCAACGGTATGAGTCGGCCCAGGTTCGAACTGAGGACCTTCTGCGCACGAAGTGTTAGACAGATGCGATAACCAGCTACGCCACCGACCCTAGAAACAGGTATGGGGGGACACGGGGCACAAGAGGCTGCACACACAAAGTACCATGAAGACAACAAGGACATAGCCTCAGAGAGAGGGAGACTTACCGAACGTTAAGGGGGTGCGTCAGACCACGTGTGATTCTTGCCTTCCCCTTTCATGTCGTACCGCGACTGTGGATCCGTCAACCGCCTTTCTCTCGAGCCATGGCTCAAGGCCACCCAGAGTTCCGATAGCCTCGTTTCGCAAATTCTACGCGGACAACGACCATTACTCGACCCTGACCATGCCTTGCTCACGACTGAAATTGTCGAGTTGGAACAGCAGCAATCCTTGTATGCCGCCCAGCTCGAAGAAATCCAGTTGCGGCAACATGCAGTCCTGAAAGCACTCGAAAGTCGCAAATCAGTCTATGCTCCCATTCGTCGTCTCCCCCGAGATATTCTCATCGAAATCTTCCATTCTGTTTGTGATTCTTGGTGGCAAGAGGAAAATAGACCTTGGAGCCTCCGACTTCCACTCCACAGCCTAGACGTATCCGGGCCTCTTTGGGTTTTGAGTCGCGTCTGTGGGCTTTGGAGGGATACATTGCACAGCTCGCCAGCGTCCTGGGCTCGGAAGCTTGTCGTGCGGGAGCCTTTCTCCAAATACGCTCTGGCGATATTGCAGACCTATCTCGAGCACACCGGCGAGCACCTCCTCAATCTGCAGGTCTTCTGTAGCCATCCGGCAGAAGACGATGAAATCCTGTCTCTGCTTGTTCAGTCCTGCCAACGGTGGAAAAATCTGCACATCGACGCTACCAAGCATCACATGCGCCATCTGGAATCAATCTCGCAGTTTCCTGCCCTGCAGACGATTGACATGACTATCTATGGTCACTATGATTGCTCTGACATTTGCTTAAGTGCACCACAACTGTGGAAAGCAAGTCTTTGCGCTCAAAGGATCCATCAGATAAAGTTATCGCCTGGGATAACCCATTTTCCTGTGTCCATCGCTTGTCCAGAAGATTTACGCCTTCTTTCCCAACTACCGAACCTCAAAAGGTGTCGCCTTCGTATTTTTACCACAAAGGACATGCCGGTGGTTACAGCGGCACACCTCACACACCTCTATGTTGATCGCGTGGATATTCTCGATGTCCTATCTGCACCTCTCCTCGGCAGTCTGACCATTAGCCTTATGTCAATGCGACAAGGACCTCAGTCACTCTCAGCACAAGAATCTCTCATCCGTTTCCTCCATCAATCGAGATGTCATCTCGAGAGTTTGAGCATCAGCGAGGCAATGTTCACATTCGACACATCTAGTAGAATGTTCGCATTGGAAGCTTGTTCTACCATCTCTCGCCTCAAACTCGAACTTCATCCACGAATGGTCAATGGCATTGTCAGGACTCTGACCTCCCCATCTGTTTTACCGAACCTGCATCATCTCATTCTGTGTATGTCGCAACCTTCAGGGGACGAGTGGACTGCCATACTCCGCATGGCGCGCTCCCGCCGTGATGCAGGAATGCTGAAATTGGTTGAGGTACAGTTTAGGGTGGATGAGCATGATTGTTACTTGGCAGAGGACATGCAAGCTCTCACTGGAGACGACTTCGAGATGCGGGTCGCGAAGTGGGATCCACCATGTCAAGACCATTTGTACCTGGAGCACCTGTCTTGAGGCCAGGGCGATAGCTTTTCCTTTCTGTGAGTTAGTGGCTTTTATCATCGTGCGTCCTTCCTGTTGACCATTTGCTTTCACAGTATGTAAATGTACCATGTTATCGGAGAAATAACAATATCAGTATTATTTTGCCGCGCATAGCGATCAGATTTTATCCATCTTTTACCACAATAATTCGGGATCCCATAGAAAGCAGCCCCAGTGGTCAGGAACTTGCTCTGAAGCGGCACGGTCACCAGGCTCATAATTGACACATCATTCGACGGTGTTTTTCGAACTGCATTGGTTCGTTCTTCCAGTTCTAAGTACAACGGAAGCTCCTTCAATTGACATGATGACTTCCTTCAGCGTGCACCACAACAGCGTATTCGCCATCCCGGTGAAGACAAAGTACTCATGTTATGGAAGCTGGGAACGGTGATCTGGCGCATCCAATTTGTTATATTGACCCCCTCAAGCCTGGAGGGAGCCACGTCGATGTCAGCACACTGCGTACCTCGAGGCTCGTTTATGCTCTCACGTTTTGCGCATGGTAACTTGTAAGTCCTCATATCGTGTTGGGCTTTTCCATCCATCCTTACCTATGTCCTCTGGGAAGGCAGTGTTTTCTCATCGTATCTTCGAATTACGTACCACTATACTCGATAGTCGGAGTAAGTACGCGATTTTTTGCTTTCCGAGTTTGATACACGATACATCATGGTCGTCGTTGTACCCAAATACCTCAGGAATGTAGAAGCTCGCTGAGGACTTTGATGGCGAGAAGTCCGTGTTGCTCATCAGAAGAACACAAATCCCCTCGAAATTTGCATGCAGCACGTTTCTATGATACAAGTCATCCTTTTACGTTCGTAGTTCTCTCTTCTTCTAATGTAACACCTAATTGCGACGAGGCACCCGAGTTGCTAAAGACACCATGGCGCAATCATAACGTTGCCCTCGCCTCGTATAAAAGGAGAGCCTGGATGGATTTCTTTCTTCAACATCATCAATCATGTCTGCCCCACAAACCCAATACGCACCTACCCAATCTTCCTCTGTCCTTGGTGGACAAATCGTCGGCCGCTCTGAGCGCCAGGCTGCGCCTCCCGCAGCTGTGAAGCTCCGTCTTGACCTGAACCTCGAAGTCGAGATCGCCATCCAGGCGAAGGTCAACGGCGACATCACCTTATCGCTCCTGTAAGTGGACTGCTCGTGTTGGGCGCGTTGTTGAGCTGACTATTTGGTTTACAGCGAGTAAATGTGCTGCGCGCATAGGGAGTCGGAGGTGGAGTGTGTTCGTCAGATTGAGGTGAGATTTCCGTCGTTCCACGGTTTCGCCGCCGTTGTGCTGAGGGCCACCTATTGTGCTGTAGGGCTCATTCGCGTCGAATATCTTCTCCCCATCCTCTCAGGTACCCATACTTGCACTATACCATTTTCGTACCCTACGAGATATCAATACAGTGTCGTTTCGGGATCTCTTTGTAAGTCTTAAGCCTGCGTGCGTCGCATTGCATTTTAGATTATCGGGACTCGTGAGATGCATTGGCGTATGTGAAGGTCAGGAATGGTCCAGGGACACACATTCTTATTGAACGTGCAGTGAAGGCGCCAGGTAAACTCCTTCAGCTTAGGATTATACACGAACCGTCACCCAGCACCATAAGCTGTAGCAAACACGTTGCATACATGTCACGGGAACCCTGGCGATGTAGTACTTATACGGCGTCAATGCTTTCCTTTTGAACGAATGGTCATTTTCGTCCGTGATCCTCTAGATTAGCTGGGGAGTAAGAGAAGAGACGGAGTGATACATCATTGTCGAGGAACACTGAGCTCGAGATGTTACATAGCATTCCTATCAGAAGGTTTCCTCACCCCTTGTTGACAGTAAGAAAAGTGGATGCGGGAGTCATGCGGCAATACCACTCGAAGGACAAAGACCAAGGTAACCGTTTAGCAAAAATAAATCCCTCCCTAGGTTTGAGTATACCATGAGTCGGCCCAGGTTCGAACTGAGGACCTTGTGTATCACCTCGCAAAAATTATGTTAGACAGATGCGATAACCAACTACGCCACCGACCCAACAATTAGGGATGGCGGGATTCAGCGGGCACATGGGATATGGGCAAAGCACAAGGAGTATTTAGAGAAATTGTGATGGAGGAAAGCGCTCATCAGCGCCGAAAGGAGCTAGCATGGAAAACCGTAGCAAAAGGAAGGAGACAAGCGCAGGGTAAACAGCTGTAACAGGATGGTGTTCGAAGATGGACTAGGCAACGCCATCATAAACTTGTGCTCGAGATGAGTCGTTAGAGTCGCCAATAATTCTTGTCGTATTCGGGCTTCAAGTCTGTGCTCAAGGGACTTCAGACTGCAAGTGGTGCCGTCATTAGATTGAGATTCAGGGAATCAGCGACAAGTCATTACTTACAATGTCGATGACGATGAGATACGTCTTGCTCTCAGGATACGCGGGCAAGCGTCTCCCAACAGCTTGAACTAACCATCGTGATTACCCGTTGAGACGTATAACACTGGTGAACCCTCTGTCCAAGCCAACTACAGTGGAGAGTGTTGAAAGAATTTGCCTATATACCGAATTCGAGGACCTGAGAAGATGTCGGAATATCTCTGATAATGTCCAGAAGAAGAAGTCGCCTTGGGAGAGAGGAACTCCCAATCACTAGCACTGGACCCGTGCGCCCACGCGCGCATCTTCGGCGTCAGAAGAGTACAGGATGATATGAATTTGGGAAAAAGCCAGGAATCTTTGGAGAAAGCCTGCCGCCGGAAAACCAGCGCAGGGAAGGGAGATGGCGATAGTCATTGGATGTAGAATTTCTTCTCCAGAGATATGATGTGAAGGGCCGAGGTCAGCGTAACGGTGTTGGGGTCAGCGTCTATCCGAATAAACTTTGAGTATACGAGCAGAAAATGTCGAAAAGATTACTCACCAGCGAGAATGCACGTCCGATTCACGAGACCAGTCGACCAAGTCTAAAGACACCGCCTCGCTTCGCTTCCACCACAAAGGTGAGAGACCTGACCGTCCAAGCGCGTCATATACAGGTACAAGCTCCTGCTTGTAGGCGACCTACACGCATACAGGGAACTGATTCTCGGCGCTGTCTGCGAGATCAATATTTCGGTGGTCCAAAGATGAGATATATGACAGGACAGAAATGATACAGGCATGGAGACTTTCGGAGTAGAACGAGACGGAAAATGGAGTGATGTTAGATTGCTAACGCGGTGATAGCGACAGGAAGAGAGTAGCGCGACGGACCGCAAGCATCTGGATGAATGTTGAATACAGTAGTCAAGAGACAAGGAGTCACTGACCAATACACCATTGCTGACCAGCACGTCGAGACCCAAGTACTGCCCACTGCAAAAGTTGCTTCGTGATTCGATGATCCTTACGAATTCCCGTTCAGTTCCTCTCCAACTTTGGGCTCAGACCAGTACGGTTTACGAGGAAGAATGATGAGGGAAATGTGAAAGAGTAACACAAAAGAAGCGTGGAAATCAACAGTAGCAACAAGCAGATGAAGGCAGAGAGTGAGTAGGACCACGTGCGACTCTTGCCTTTACCCCTTCATGTCGTGCTTCACCTGCCGCGACTGTGGATCCATCAACCTCCTTCTCCTCGAGTCACGTTTCAAAGCCACCCAGAGTTCCGATAGCCTCGTTTCGCAAATTCTACGCGGGCAAAGACCAGTGCTCGACGCTGAGCATACTTTGCTCACCGCTGAAATTGTCGAGTTGGAACAGCAGCACTCCGTGTATGCTGCTCAGCTTGAAGAAATCCAGTTGCGTCAATGTGCAGTACTGAAAGCACTCGAAAGTCGCAAATCAATCTATGCTCCCATCCATCGTCTTCCCCGCGACATTCTCATCGAAATTTTTCATTCTGTTTGTGATTCTTGGTGGCAGGAAAAACGGTCGCCGCACGTACACCACAGCCTACACGTATCCGGGCCTCTTTGGGTTTTGGGTCGCGTCTGTGGGCTTTGGAGGGATACTTTGCACAGCTCGCCAGCATCCTGGGCTCGGAAGCTTGTCGTGCGGGAGCCTTTCTCCAAACACGCTCTGGAGATATTGCAGACCTATCTCGAGCACACGGGCGAACATCTTCTCAATCTGCAGGTCTCCTGCAGGGACTCGACAGACGATGACATCCTGTCTCTTCTTGTTCAGTCCAGCCAGCGGTGGAAGATCCTGCACATCGACGTTGTCAAGTCTTGTATGTCCCATTTCAAATCTATCTCGCACCTTCCAGCGCTGCAGGCGATTGAGATATATATCTATAATGCCCATGGCTCTGATGATCGGTGGGACATGTGCTTGGGTGCCCCACAGCTATGGCATGCGCGTCTTCAAGGGCATGGGATTCATCAGATAAGGCTACCCCCAGGGATAACAAAATTTTCTGGTTCTATCACTTGTCCAGAAGATTTACGCCTTTTTTCCCAACTACGGAACCTCAGAAGGTGTCACCTTTGGATGACACCGGCCATGGTTACAACGGAGGCGTTTACGGTGGTTACAGTGACGCAGCTCACCCACCTCTATGTTGATGGCGCGGATATTCTCAATTTCTTATCTGCACCTCTCCTCGGCAGTTTGACCATTAACCCTATCTCACAAAGACCTCAGTCATCCTCCGCACCAGAATCTATTACCCGTTTCCTCCATCGATCGAGATGTCATCTCGAGAGTTTGAGCATCGGTAAGGAGGTATTCACATTAGACACATCTACCAGAATGTTTGCATTGGAAGCGTGTTCTACCATTTCTCGCCTCAAACTCGAACTTCATCCAGGATTAATCAATGGCATTGTCGAAGCTCTCACCGCCCCAACCGCCCTACCGAACCTACACCATCTTATTCTGTGTTTATTCAAGCCTTCAGGGGACGAGTATGTCACCCTGCTCCCTTTGGTGCGCTCCCGCAGTCATGCAGGATTGCTGAAATTGGTTGAGGTACAGTATATACAGGAAAGGCATGATCGTTCCCTGGAAAAGGACATCCGAGCTCACACTGGGGACGGCGATTTGGAGATGCGGGTCGGGAAATGGGATCCACCAGGTCGGGATGTTTACCTGTGGCACCTGCCTTGAGGTCAAGGCGACTCCTGTGAGTTACTGGCTTTTATCATCGTATGTCCTTCCAGTTGACCATTTGCTTTCATAGTATGTGAACGTACATGTTATCGGAGAAATAACAATATCAGTATTATTTTGCGGTCAGATTTTATTGCTCTTATATTACAATAATTCGGGATTCCAGCGTGGAACGTAACCCGCATGGTCAGGAACTTGCTCTGAAGCAGCACAATTACCAAGCTCATAATTGGGACATTATTCGACGGGTTTTCCGAACTGTATCGGTTTGTTCTTCCAGTTTCAAGTACAGCGGAATCTCCTCCAATTGACATGGCGACTTCCTCGAGCGTACACCACAGCAACGTATTCGCCACGCCTCAGTTTTCCGGTCACGTCGATATCCATGTGTTGCGCTTTTTTGCAGAGTAAGACCTTAACTTTGCCCTGTGGCGATGTACCGTCGTCCAACGAGCCGGTGCTGTGCAACGAAAAGGCGAGGTGGGCATCTAGTATCTTGACCTGCCAGGAGGACGAACGGGGTCAACAAGGGCCCTGCTAAAGGGCCGGCGCTTATTGGCGTGGACTCTCCGGCGGTGAAATCGAAATACAGTATAATGGCTGGGCGAGTCGTCGCCGTCTCTTCGGGGTTGGCATGACCTGGATCTCTTCGCAGCGAAGGGCATCTCGGTCTCGCATCGACGAAGCCAGTCGAGATTCTTTGACCTAGGTGCCATGGAAGCTGGGAACGGTCATCTGGCGCATCCAATTTTTATTGACGCCCTCGAGTCTGGAGGGATCCACGTTGATGTTAGCATAGTCTGTGTACCTCATTTATGCTCTCACGTTCTGTGCATGGTAACTTGTAAGTCCTCATGTCGTGTTGAGCTTTTCCATCCTTCCCTATGTCCTCTGGGAAGGCAGTGGTCCCTCATCGTATCTACGAATTACGTGCGTATCACTATACACGATAGTGAGAGTACGCGCTTTTTTGCTTCCCAAATCCAATACACGGTACATCAGGAATATAGAAGCTCGCTGAGAACTTCGATGGCGAGAAGTCCGTGTTGCTCATCAGAAGAACGCATATCCCCTCGAAATTTGCATGCAGCACGTTCCTACGAAAGAAGTCAACCTTTACGTTCGTAGTTCTCTCTTCTTCTAATTTAACACCTCGATGTGACGAGGCACCCGAGTTGCTGAATACACCATGGCGCAATCATAACGTTGCCCTTGCCCCGGTCCAACTCGTATTCGTATAAAAGGAGAACCTGGATGGATTTCATTCTTCAGCATCACCATGTCTGCCCCACAAACCCAATACGCACCTACTCAATCTTCCTCTGTCCTTGGTGGACAAATCGTCGGCCGCTCTGAGCGCCAGGCTGTCGCTCCTCCCGCAGCTTTGAAGCTGCGCCTTGACCTTAACCTCGAAGTCGAGATCGCCATCCAGGCGAAGGTCAACGGTGACATCACCTTGTCGCTCCTGTAAGTGTATTGCTCATTTCGACGCGTCGTCGAGCTGATTGTTTGATTTACAGTGAGTAAATGTGCTGCTCGCATAGGAAGACGTAGTCGGCATACAGTCGTCTGTTCGAGGTGGGGTTTGTCTTTTAGCGCGCTCGTCGGTTTCATGCTGAGACTTGTTAGGGCACCGTCGTGTACCGGTTACATTCTTCCCGTCGTCCTTGGTTAGCAGTGTATTAGTGTCTCTATACCTATTAGATACGAATATCAGTGTTACTCTGGGATCACGCAATGAAGTTTTCACAACACATGCACCTGATTTTCACGTTGAAAGCGTGCCTTAGATCTCGCTGCGAAGAGGAGAAACTCATCGTCGAGGATGTCGACGCAAATACGATGGGTAAATTTGGCGTTTTTGCCGTGAATACCGACTATTGTTACCGAGCCCAAAGCTTCTCCACTTCTATGCCAAATTTAAGCGGGAATATGGAAGGAACAGATGTCCAGAA